GGGGGGGGGCGATCCGCGTGGAACTGGACCCGATGGACGCCTGTTGTGTGTGTGTGTGTGCGTGTGTGTGCTTCGTTTGTTTTATAGGATTCCCTACGAGTGATTAGTTTTGAGATTGAAGGCGAGGATCACCATCGCTGCTTTGCACTGTTGAGTGTTTTGTTTACTGTACGAACATGAAAAGGGTTATTGCGAAATAATGTGCGACACATAATTATTCAATCAGCTGTGCATAACCCAGCAGGGTGTGCGAAATGCGAGGGGAAAGGGCCCTTCAAAAACGATATCGAAAAAATAAAAATGTCGCCACCGAAACGATAACGTTTAATCGCGAATAAGATCGTTTTCGGCACCGGACAGGAAAGTGCGTGAGCCTCTGTGCCCTGCGCCCACGCACGTCTGTTCGCAGAGATTGATAATTTGCATCGTCGCCTCGGTCTTTTTATTGCAGATCCCAGACGTACTACGTTTGCGCAAATAAGGCATCGTCCAGGAAGTACATCCGTTTTCCTCGAATTAATTCGGCAGATTAGGGGAGCTCGGCGCCTGGTAGGCCAGGTAGGCCACCGCGCAGTACACGCATGCACTGCAGACTAGATGGTGTCTACCTACCAGGCGCTACGAGAGCTTGTTGGGGCTGAACTCGGCAACTTCGCGACGGCGAATGACGGACGTACTTTCTAGATGATCCCTAATTCGACTACACTGTAATTTTTGGGGGGTGTCTCAAATGTAATCGCAAAAAACGTACCGTATGCTACAGGATCCAGAGCGACATTTGGCGTATCCTTTTGGGCCATCTTTTGGCGTATAGGATTTGAGACACCCCCGAATTACAGTGTGCTTGAGATGTTGCAGCGCGGGGAGGGTATGTTTACGAATATTACGGAGTCCCATAATGTTTCATCAAGACCCCGCTCATTGGACTTCCATGGGGAGATCATATGATATCTGTAACCGCCCGGGGTAAAAATATCTGAGAGTCCCTGTGAGCTCTAATGGTGCATAACCAGCGGGGTGCAGCTTGGTTCGCGTACTAGCAGTGTGTGCACCGTAATAGTTATTCGGCCTTGCGTTTGCCACCGCACTTTACCTGCCTCCAGGGGCCTTTACTTGTCCAGGTGTGCGCTCCAGCACCTGTGTCCAGCAGCGTCCAGCGCTGTGCCGCTGGGACCTCCCTGGAGACCCATCGGAGGACTTCGCCCCCCCCCCCCCTCTCTCTCTCTCCCCCGCCTCCCGGGACTATCAGAACATGCTCAGCTGTTTGGGGGCATCATAGGGAAGCAGTGGCGCGAGTCGTACAAACAAACATGATTCACAGTACGTTTAATTGGACTGGGTCGAGATCACCCGTTCAGATCGGCCTCTAATGCCGCCCCGACGATGTCGTCATACCGTCGCATGCATGTCACACAACATTCCGACCCCACCCGCTGCTATGAGTGCGGAAGTGCATGCGGCGATCAGCAACATACAGTCGTACCGCACCAAAGAGATGCACGCCGCATGGCCGGCAGTCTCTGTAGAGCGGCGAAATGCCGCGCCGGGCGATAGGCGATAGCGACCAGCAGCACCCAAGGTCGGCGGGGACGACGCGAAGTGCATGGGGGGCGCCCGGCGTCGTCACCGGCCGCGACCCAGTGGGGAGGAAGGGGGGCGTCTGGTGAGGGATTCTAGCATTTAAAAAAATGCTTAAAACGTGAGAAAATTTTTACTAATTTTTTTAAAAGTCAGACTTTTCTGACTTTAAAATTCCTGTACTTCTCAACTCTTCAAGAAAGGGTGCGGGATAGCTCAAATCATTCAACGATGAGAGTGTGTTTTTAGCGATGCATTAATGTTGCGTGCGTGCATTGTTGCGCAACGGAGCAAGACAAAAAGCAACAATAAGTCGAGACGTTAACCCTGATCCCGATGGTTTGGTTAGACCCACGAGTAGGGTTCGAGAATTACCGGTAATTTTGGGTCAAAGTAAAAAACCTGGGTAAATTTCAGTAAATTACTGTTTTTTTGAGTAATTTACTAAAAACAGCCCAATTGAAAGAAAAACGCAATTTTAAACATTTTTTAAGGGTACTTGTATGATTTCCCGTTTACAATCTAGTAATTAAAGCACATGCTTTAGAAGCACCACCGACATAGACGAACTGAATGTAAAGTGAAAAGATTTTGACCCGGGAGAAGAGATACTTTTCTCCTCGCCACTACATAAAGAACCTTTTAAAGTATTTGCCGCCTCTGATAATCATACGTAGTGCATCCATGCGTACACCAGTGGATTCTTACGTCTAGCCTCGCTAGCCATATGAAGTTTTAATGTCTGCTTTTGTGCACACTTAAGAAAAGAACTAGAAATGCATGTAATTGTCTGCATTGCTCACGAAGCATTGAAGCCGAAAACCTGCACAAATTGCAACGCTTCAAGCAAATAACAACATAAATGTAAATTTGTCTACAGGAAATATTAGAACGTTGTCAGTCGATCCATTAAAATTTAGTGGCCTTACGGCCTGTATGAGAAAAATATCTGCCTCTGTGCGTGTATCCGGTAAAAAGGTGAAATATGAGCAAAATAGGTCTGATTTCTTACAAATCTTGAAGTAAATTACTTTGAGGGAAAGTAATTTACCGTAATTTACTAGTTTTTTACTCAAAATTTCTCGAAATTTACTTTGCTCTCGAACCCTACCCACGAGCCGCCGCGGTCGAGTTGGCGCGGCGCCGCCGCCCACGCACCACGTGTGTGTTGCCCAGTACGGAAAATTTTCCCGCGCGCGCAGGGCCTCTTGGTAAACACACACTGCCGTCCGGGGCGTCATAATGAGCTTATCTGGAGGCGGGACCGTGGTGGTGACCACCAAGGACTGCTCCCCGTCGACCACCATCGGCGGCCGCGAGCAGAGCGTTCCGGCGAATCAGGCCGGCGAGCGGGACGGATCGGGAACGGCCGCTGCACCAAACGATTAGAAAGTTTCCGTTCAACGACCAAAAACACCACGACCACCGCCGCCGCGGTTTGGGCCGCTGCACCCGCCGCCAGCCGCCCCCCGCACCCGGTCTTGTTTTCCTTTCCGGCCTCGACTTTCCACTCCGCTCTACCGCCCCCGCTCGCAGTGCATACAACACCACGACACTTCTTGCCCCTTTGGCTTTTTCCCCCCACGCGGCGTGCCCGGTTGGCAGCCGTATCCTGGTGTTGGGGATTGTGTTATATGTCCGAATCTTTTCCTGGAAGAACTAGAGAAACCCTCACAGAAAAAAAATGGAAAAAATGCAAATGCTTCCAGAAAAATTTGAAACAAATGAAACTATACTCAGGAAAAAAAGAGTTTCCAAAAAAAGTATTTCCGGGAGAACTAAAATCGATATCCTGGAGCCGTTCAGCAGCCGTTCTGGAGCCGCTTTAGAGCCTGTAGATCGCTAGTGGTACCCGCGTCACCTCCGCGGGAGTCGGGGACAAGTCCCGCGAGTAAATGGAGTCCTGAACGACCTGGGCCCTTACGCCGGCGTTGGACCCCCCGTTATAGCAGCAGCGTCATGACGTCACTGCCGAGTTAAAGACCCACCTGTTGTTGACCCCATTGACACTCCGGCGGACTTTATCAGTGTCGTGTTGACTTGGCCGATGGCCGCGCGCTGCAGCACCTCGTGCCCTCGCTCCCCTGGGGGCGGCCGCCGCCGTCGTCGCGGAGCCCTGCTGCTGCTGCTGCTGCTGCCGCTGCTGCTCCCGCGCCCCCCAGCAGCGGCGGCGCGCGGCCAGCACCCCGTGGAGCTCCCCGCGCCCCGCCCCGCCCCGCCCCAGCAGCGGCGGCGCGCGGCCAGCACCCCGTGGAGCTCCCCGCGCCCCG